CAATGATGGAAAAGGGTTCCAAACGCCTTCGTACGGCCTTCTGCGATTCAGGTTGCTCCGATGCCATCAACGCGAAAAAGTTTTCCACCTGCGACGGGGCTGCCTCCACAGACAAAACCCGCGAACTTCTAGACGACTTTTACACAGCAAGAGCCCAGAGAAACTCTTTCTGTAGTGTCGCGGGCAAAGATTGGTATCATTCAGACTGTGCCCAAGCGCTGGTAAACATGGACAGGGCAGGATGGGCGTTCGACGGACGCCCCGATAGCCCTACTTTGATTAAAGACGTTGGCCAAGCTCTCGAGCAGCTCAAGGAGAAACTCGTGCCCCAGGATCTTCGACCAGTGTTCGAGGACAAGCCGGATGTTCTGTCGAAGAAGGATTCCTTCAAACGTGTGACCCAACTCAAAGAGAGTGTCTGCGCAACCTGTGTCTGGAACTGGCTGGCTGGTATCGACTTAAAGGATCGAATGGAGTATATCAGCACCTCTGAATCTGCGCCGGATTATGTAGACTTCGTCAAGAAGTACCACAAGACATGTACTGCGCTTGGGGCAACCTGGCTTGGGGACTTGCCTTATGGCAACGATCCTGCCATTTGGCGCATGCAACAGCAGGATGAAAAGATCTTTCGATTTATTGAGGTCAAGAACCGTCACGGGAGGCAAATTATTTATGCGGTCAACGAGGCCACTGGCTCAGTTCAGTTCTACGAAGACCAAAGGAGGCTGAATAGGCCTGGAGTCGACATTGCGACACTTTGGCACGTCCTAGAGGCCGAAAGAGGAGTTAAGGCACTGTCGGAGGGAAATTTTGAGGAATGGAAGTTGGCAGAAGAAAAGCACAGGAAGGAAGAAGATGAGAAAATATGGGAAGTAGATACTCGGTGGTCGACACAGGTCTCTTACATTGGGCCAGTCCCATTGGAGTATTAAGGGGCAGGTTTCCGTTCTAACAGCAATGTGATAATTTATGAAATATGTATAGGCTTGCGACAGGTGTTTACTTTTAGAAGTGTTTAGGTTGGGTCGAATTCGTCGAGGTGTAGGCACGGTGGTATTCATTTGGAATTCACATTAGTAGGCATACATTCTCAGCCGATGCCTGTCAATACAACCTACATATAACGATTTCTGGTTTGGATACTTGGATAGCGAAGGAGAATGCCAGCCCAGGTCAACTAGGCACTGGTTTGACGCGTTCGTGTTTTTCGACATCAACATCAACACAACAAATGTTCTTATTTTCGCCAACTACCCTATATCTTTGCTTTACGATAAGGAAAAAACGTGTACACCACTCTAATTATTCCCATTTACCGTTAAAAACACTATGTTAATTTGACATTGTTGAATTTAGTTTTGGTTGATATGCATAAACAGCCAGCGTTGGAGATGGCTAGAACCCGTTATGGAGCATCATCAATTATAAGAACAATAGCATTGACTGTGTTAGTACCGGCCATTCGCCAAGCCTGGAGGCTGATCTCAATGAATCTAGGCCCGGCGAGTTTTATGGACATGTCTCGGGATCTGAGAAGAACTGAATCAGGCCGAACCTCTAGGGTAAGTGTTGCTCGGATCTTACAGCCGAGCTTGAGAGTGTGGATATGTTTAGCTTTCCCCACCTCGGTCTGGGTCCCCGAGCAGTCAGACGGGGATCCGAGAGAAATCTAAGCTCTGTGGCGGATTGTGAAATAGGAGAAGTTCGCAAGAACAAATCATTTATGTTCATTTATCTATCATCGAAAGCTTCATATTAATATACCTTTCGCTCGGGATTTTCATAATGTATGGGCTAAGTTTATTTTGGTCCGAGATTCCGGCAGTGAGGATTCTTGGTTCTTGAGGCGTGTAAATATGGCGGATTTTTGGTTGAGCCTTGTCCCAGACGCTGCATAATAAACGTGTATTCTACCTCATGAGAATAGAAGGATACACTGAAACGTGTGCGATATATACCTCACCAACTACTCCGGGTTATGGCTGTTTTTTTTTCCGTTTGGAACATAAAAAGGCAGTGCCAGAGATTTTATTCATAAGTCCAATGAATAAACTGAATAATAACACAGCCATAAAGCGAAGTTCCAAAGTCTAGGGCTTACCGACTGTCTCCACCCCAACCTCGGTGTCGGGCACTTATCGATATATGTACAACATCGCCGACCCACTCATCTCTTCCTCCCTTTTCATCCCATCTCTTATCTGATTCAATCGCCATGTCAGCTTGATACCCTGGGCCACCTCCCTTCCAGATCCCAATCACGGAAATCAAAGACGAACGGAAAAGAGAAACCGTGAGGATGGCGTCGCAAAAGAATCCGCCAGATACAGATCCAATCTCCCCCAAGCCAAGCGCCCGTAAAACAAACACCGCGTGAGTGCCGGAATCCTGTGCTTGGTCTGATATAGTCCACGAGCTGACGTAGCTTATAGGTGTCTCCAGTGCCGTGAACGCAAGGTACGCTGCTCTGGCTCGTGCCCTTGCACCAACTGCGTACGACGGTCAGCAGAATGTGTATTTGAACAGGAGGAGCGCAAGGTTTTGGTTTCTGAAAAGCATGTCCCTGCCTGTCCCTTAGATTCTGAGATTCTTTTTTTGGAAGCCCTCTACTAATGTGAGACACTAGACTTTTGAACCAGCTCAAGCGGAAAGCAGAGCTCGTAGAAAGAGACTCTTCACCCTCTTCCCGGAAGCGGCAGCAGAAAGAGCCAAACGACATCAGGAATTGCGAGCAAAGCAATGAAAGCAATGATGAGCGTGGAGAAGATGCCCTACCTCGGATGCGTAACCCGCTCACTACAACCGCAGCCAAATTTGTGACGGACCCTCAGGGACGAAGACGTGAGTAATAGGATCAATTGTGTTCGGAGCTGGGCATACTGCTGACCGCAGCTACGATATAGGTTTCCTCGGGCCCTCATCAACATGGGCGTATGGACGTCAAGTCATGGGTATGATCAGAGAATATCTTAACCAAGATGAATCCCCTCTCGTGCCTCTAAACACCGATGGACAAGCGTTGCCACTAGAATTCCCCAGCGAGAAGCAACTGGGAGGCACTATTTTGATGGACAATCTTCCCTCTCTGGATTATGCCATTTATCTGACCAACACTGTCAAATTTCACATCAGCCAGACTTATCATTTATTTGACGAACATAGTTTCCTCAATGGCCTTTTCTCTCTCTATAACGACGGGCCGCGCCCATTGAATGGGAAGACCCGGCTATGGTATGTCCAATATTTTATCATTATGGCATTTGGAAAAGCCTTGCTTGTCCGTGGCCAGTCAGCTTCAAACCCGCCAGGGGGCGGATATTTTATGAGAGCTATGGAGATTTTTCCAGATGTCGATGGCCTGTATCAAGATGCGATTCTTGCAATTGAAATATGCTGTGGCTTGGCTCTGTACCTCCAATCAATAGATCATCGCAACAGCGCCTATACATATGTACGTATCTCACCTACTTGCCCCAAAACGACTTCTGACGAAAATTCAATAGCTTGGTCTTGGACTTCGCATTGCCCTATCTCAAGGCCTTCACAGAGATCCTGGGGGAGAGAATCGAGACCATAGGGAGGCTGTTCGGGAACGGAGTGCCTGGTGGACGCTGTATATCTTGGATCGGAAGTTCTCATCTCTAATGGGTGCACCGAATTCTCTCCATGATGAAGACATATCGGTTCCTTTCCCACAACCGGCAAGATCAATCCAGAAGTCAACGACATTAGAGATGCATGTGAAACTCTCACGGCTCATCGCCAAGGTACTGAATAGTAAGTCAAAAACAATGATTTCTCCTGGCGAAGCTATGCTGATGCGAGAGACGTGAAGCCGTGTATGGCGTGGATGGAAGGCTGGACTCATCATTTCTCCGAAACGTTCAGAATATGCTCCGGCAGCTTGCGACTTTAGGTGAAGAACTAAATGCTTCTGTCGAGCTGGATTTGAATAGTTCAAACCCTTTATCCCGGGTGTCCGCTACAATCAATCTCTGCTATCATCAGGTATGGGTTTGGATAAAATCCCTGATTGGCATATTTGCTGACCTGTCCGAAGTGCATTGTTCTCGCAACCCGCCCACTTCTCATGTGCCTCTTACGAGACAAACTAGAGACTCGGTCGCGCGGAGGCAAAACTCACCGTGAGATAGTAGGACCGGTCAAGGCCTTACTGAAGGCATCGTGCGACTCTGCAACAAAATCGCTCCGGATTTTATCTGCACTCTATTCTCAAGATCTCTTAGGTAGGAGGGCTTCTTAATTCAATTATTTAGAACTAACCCTGAATGAGAGTCATAGAGACGTTTCTCCCTTTTGATCTCGATCATGCTTTCTCAGCCAGCTTCGTCCTATCTCTTGTCTCTGCAATCCAGCCATTCCCGAATACGATTGGCGACTCTTACATGGAAACTACAACTATGCTTCTTGATTCTCTGACGGCGAGTGGGAATGTATCGGCTCGTTTCCGGCAAGAGGAGTTGCAACGTCTTCATGATATGTTACTTCTCGTTAGCCAAGATCCTGACCAAGCCAATGCGCTGGAACAAGATACATCCGGCGTCGTTAATGTACCACTGATGCTCCAAGGGGTCTCCCCAAATCAAATGTTGTCTGTGGCTAGTCTTCTGGAGACCTATCCAGGATTTGACGTGTCTCCGGATGCTGCGGAAAATAGGTGGTTGTGGGAAGGTGAGATGCCGGAATTTAGCTATGAGTAGGATGGACAAAACCAACCAGCTGCCCAGAAAAAGTTCGAGAAATAGCCTACATCATTGGGCCCTGGTCGGAATTGGGTACTGGGTCGATGTGCTTCAAGTAGACAACGGAGGAGTAAATTGTATTTCTTCTAGTTTGAGCTTACACTAGATGAAGACAACTTGATGATTATGATATAATGAGTTATTCTTTTACTCCGGCATTAGCCGAAAGTAGGAGCCGTGACTATTATCACGACCTTGAACGCCCCGGAAGCAGGATTAAAGAAAGTGATCACATTACGCTATGCCCCAAAGACGTCCAAATTGGGCTAGGGAGCGCTCGAGACATTTCCTCGAATCCTGAGCCCTATTTCCATCTTCAGAGAGCGAGCCATGCTCCATGTGCGAAAGTGTGGCACGTAATAGGTATACATAATTTGGAGGAAGCATGAGACCCATGTGCGGAGGCCTAGATTCGTGCCATTCAGCGATATCCAAAGTCATTGTGATCCCAGTACGAATTGCAGCAAAGGAATCAGTGTTGTCAGCATGTCTGCCACCTTCAGCAGTTTCTGCTGAAGTCAATTGAATGATGTGTCCATGGAGGCTGAAAAGTGATCTGACGAGCATACATTAGGAACTGATCGTGTGACAAAGTGAAGCGGAGATTACGCGCTGAACATACCTAATAGCAATAACCACAGCTGAACAATATGATGAGGGCTTCCCCGAGTGTTGTTTTACGACCACTTCTAGGAATGACTGGAGCGAGGTGTTTAGATTGTGAAGCGTGGAAAGTCGTGCGTCGACATCGCATATGCTGAAGGCTTTAAGAATTTGATCCACTAGCATGATTGCTTGAGCAAGACGACCGAAACCACCAACATGCACTTCGTGGGGGGTAGAGACGAGGATCTTGGGTACCGGAGTGCTTGAGAACACTGGAATACCCTGATCAATTGAGTTAGGCTCCGTTGGAAGTGCCGTATTTTCGGGAGGGACACTTGTGATGAATGGCTGATCTTTGGTAGTCACTTCCAGCATCATAGTACTAAAGAGATACGAAGAAGGAAGAATCAGTATCAAAAACTGCCATGTTGCCAGCTATGTAGGTAAGGGGTAAACATAGCTGAAGGAGGCACACGAACCGTTCCCAGATGATGAGAGCCCACCAGGTATTCAAAGGCTCAGCTTCTTCTGGCTGCAAACTATGGCTGGCTTGCTCTTCGTGTCTCGAGCTGACATTGAGAGTATGAATGCGAGCAGCATAAGCCATTCGCGCGGCATTCGATATAGTTGCAAGACCTCGATCGCTTTGCCCGTGGACATACTCGTAAACCCCCAATAGTAGCCCCGCTTGTATGAAGCTTACTGAAGGAGATATCATAGCCTGCAGCTGTGCGAAGATCGACCTGGCCGATAGATATAAGGTGTTTTGACTCGTCTTGCTGGTAGGGGAAGAATTTCTCGGCTCAGGGTCTGGGGTAATGAGGCACATGCAAAGTAGTAGGATGGATAAGTCTGCGGAAGGGGTGGCCCCTAGGGTGAGAAGACTATTGTGAAAGCGAGAGCGGGCGATGACCGGGAGAAACATATGGACGTCTTTGAAATATCGTGCAGTGATGTCATCAACGAACTGGCCAGTGGAGCGGATCAAGCGATTGACCTCAGCGTGAACGCTTATTTCCAGATTCCCCGGCCCTGATAAAACCGTGCCCCAAAACGGCGAGAGACCTGTTTGATGTGGGACTATCCCTCCGTTTCTCTCTGTTCTGCTGAGGGGCGCATCCTGTCGACCGGCGGTGTGCCTAGAGTATGCACATTGTAATCGCTTCCTAGTCGATTAAATAAGTTTGAGGGCCCCGTTGCGGAATAATTCGTGTCAACAAACCTGACGCAATAACCACATGAAGGCAGCGTCTTGTCGCATTTCTTTTTCCGGCTTCGACAGTTGATGCAGACCAGAATTTGCCGCTTGTCGGCCGCCATGTCGGGTTGCCTTCCACCGACCATTGATTGGCAGCCAATCTAGGGAATCCACTCCCTAGCTCACGATCAATGGCCAATATAGTTGGGTCGACAGGCCTAAAGCACGTTGGAGCATGGGTTGACTCGTATGTGTTGGGTGTTTCGTGAATTTTGGGTGACGTTAGCTATTTTTGCCTGGGATTGATTGATTGGTCAGCGCGGGCGGCTGGCGGAGGAGCGTCGGCCGACGTCGGCTGACAGCCAGTTGGCGAATCAGCTTCTATGCTGCTTTCTAGGACCGCTCCCAAGAACTTATAAGAAGACTGATACGGGCACGCTTTTTTAATTATTCTCAACATCTCATCCGAATTTTACTTCTCGGCTTTTCTTTTCAAAACGGCCAATCGCAGACCAACCACCATGGCAGGTGATCCCAATCAACAGCCCGTCTCTCAGTTCGCCGAATCGCTCCGAGGGCAGTGTCTGTGCGGATCCATTAGTGTCACTATCAAAGACCCTGAGCTATTCACCCGCCGCCGCGGCCATATTTGCCACTGTTCTAATTGCCGCAAGGTTTCCGGAAGCTACGCGTCTATCAATCTCATCATCGAGGATGACAAAGTAGACATTGTGGACCGGGATGGAACCCTGACCGAGTTCAAAGACGGAGACACATTGAGTGGAAATACGTTGGGAAGGTGGTTTTGCTCTCGGTGCGGCAAGTAAGTTCGGTCTCCGCAATCCACTCGAGGATGAATTTGATCCTAATGTCTAAACAGTCCAATAAAGTCGATGAATCCAGTCCTGAAAGGGAAGGTGATTGTGAAAATGGGCATTTTCCCGCGCATCCCGGCACCTGAGATGGAGGCTTTTGCCTCGCATCGGCACCCATGGCAAGGCAATAACCCTGACGTGATTCATTACAAGACAAAACTTTATGGAGACACCATGTAATGCATTTATGCATAGGTATTGCCGAATATTTTACCTTGGTCTTAGTGCACACTATGGGACGAGAAGATAGTTGATTGTTGATCACGAGAGTGAAACACTCGGACATATCCGAAGACATGCGTGCCAATGCAGCTACAGGAACATCAATTGACCTAAAACTATGTCTATTTGATCATTTACCAATTGTAAACTTTGCTATGAATATCTCAATGAAGAGGATTCTTTGAAGGTGGAGTCTTCTTCAATGTTAGAGAAATCGTTGTGTTATCATTCTCTCCTGTGGAATTCCACTTGAGTGCATAAACACCCCTGATATCAGATGGCACTGTGTACCAAAGAGATTCCATATCACCATCGTCTCCATATACAAAAATATAAGCGCCGTAGGAAGTGAATGAGTCAGCGACGATGGAGGAGTTACCAGCGGTGGAGTTACTGAACACAACCGCATGCGAGGAGGATGAGGCCGCTGGAATAGCAAGGGCAGTTCCCGACCCCCAGGTTGGTACATCGTCAGAGTTGGAGAAAGCTGTCGCGTTGGGGGAACCCAGTAAGTAGCCTGAACTTGCGGTGACTGTGGAATTACTTTAGTTTGTAGTCACTATGCATCCGACGATTGGGGCTTACAGATGACAGGCGCCGCATCTGGATTTTTGATCCGAGTGTAGTCACCAATATAGGCATTTCCTGGTTGGCCGAGTGTTAGTCATTTAATTGCAATGAAAAAAAAAACATTATCAATAACCTACCACCGGCGTAAAACAGGGTGAGGCCACCGACGCCAGCACCATATCCGTACAGTTGAAACCCTTCAGTATCGACTGCACGGCGGAACGAGCCTGCAGCCGCAAAAGAGGCCATGTGCCCAATATTGAAAGCAAATGCAGCGCTAGGTTTCATTGTGGCAATTTATAGAAAAGTTGATCTTCTGATGGGAGGTAAAAACAAACTGAGGTGGTAAATTGACCTTTGATGGATGGGATGAGGTGCTGTCAAATATCTCTTGGCGGAGGACCCGGAAGAATTGTTTTGCTCCACTAAGCTCTCGAACCGTGCTTTAACATCTCTTGAATAAAGAGTTACACAACTAGCATTGTAGAGAGGTTACATGATAAGTGGGTTGCGTATGCCATGTGGTTGGTAGGCCGCGTAATTGACCAGGTCGCCAATCTGGGGGTTTAAATGACAATGACGAGGCCGATGAAACACTACAGGCAACCTTATTGCCGAGAATCCGCGGCGTTTCTTCTATCCCTATCATTTCACGGTATGGTGGGGTTACCTTGCTATAGAAGATTGTATCTCTACCACCGTGATAGATCCATCGAATGCCCCTGTAACCCCATGATGAACCAGCATGGAAACAGCCCGGGGCTCAGATGTGCAGATCATAGCCTTACTTGTTAGAGTATTGGATTCAGTAACGCGCGTCGTCTGTGTTGGAACCCCTCGTGTATGATTCACGAGGTTCACTCAACAAACTGGCGTCGTTTACAGCCTCAACCTCTCCGGGAATGTACGGCAAGCGACGGCTTTCCCGAGGAGATCTAAACTCAATCCGTGGTTAGCTTAGTTTCTCAGCTACCGTCGAACCCCCATCGATCCGCCGCTATAGTGACAGCGAAAGGTAGGCTTCGTTATCAACACAGCCTCAGAACGGAGTGAATTACGAATAGTGTCGCAACCATGGAGTCGTCACCTGAAATCCGCATCTACACCTGCCGGTAACAGTCCCGGAGATAGAAACAATTGGATGCACCTGACCAGAAGCGGTTGTTTGGTTTAGAAACTGGGCTTAATCGTGAGGTGGGTCAAGAATGGTGGAAATGAGAATGAAAACGGAAACTGCTCGTGAGCGAACTCATTTTAGCAAAAGACTTAAAAAGCCATTTCACATTCCCTTCATTCAAGTTCAGTTCGATGCTTTCTCCCTAGAGATCTTTGCATTCATTCCATCAACCTTCTGACATCCTCATTGACTTTATCAACCTGACTTTGTTTTGGCAATCCAGGCAATGGTTGTCCTAAATATTTTATCCCTAAGCCTTTTGGGCGGGTTCTCTGGAGTTTTGGCATCTTCATTGCCCGCTATTAGTTTTATTGACTCCGAACTCCTTTCGGCTCGAGCATCATGCAGCGGCAACACTGCTACTTCACGATCTCAGTGGTGCGACTACTCCATTGACACAGACTATGCCACGGAGCCTGTTGATACGGGGGTCACCCGCGAGTACTGGCTTGAGTTAACTGATGAGACCGCTTCCCCTGATGGCGTGTCACGATCAGTGATGCTGGTTAACAAGACTCTCCCCGGCCCAACTATTTTTGCTGACTGGGGCGATGATGTTATCATTCACGTAACCAATTCTCTTTCCAGCTCCCTGAATGGCACAAGCATACACTGGCATGGTATCCGCCAAAATTATACCAATCAGAATGATGGTGTTGTTTCTATCACCCAGTGTCCGCTTGCCGTTGGGAAAACAACCACTTACAGCTGGAAAGCCACCCAATACGGGACGTCTTGGTACCACTCACATTTCGGTCTTCAGGCTTGGCAAGGAGTTTTTGGTGGCATTATCATCAACGGTCCTGCGACTGCGAACTATGATGAAGATCTTGGCGTGGTGTTCTTAAATGATTGGGATCACCAAACCGTCGACGAGCTCTATACGAGTGCGCAGACTACGGGGCCACCTACACTAGACACTGGTCTCATTAATGGGACAAACGTCTTTGGTGATGATGATAGCTCATCTCAAACTGGCACTCGTCTCAGCGTTCCTTTTAGCTCTGGAACATCCTATCGTATGAGACTAGTCAATGCTGCTGTCGATACGCACTGGAGGTTTTCAATCGATAACCATACCATGACCGTCATTGCCTCTGATTTAGTGCCCATCGAACCCTACACCACGACAGTACTTAGCATGGGAATGGGTAAGCTTCCATTCTTCGTCTGATTACGATATACTAACAAGTACTAGGGCAGCGCTACGACATCATAGTCAATGCAGATCAGGCTGATGTTGCCGAAAACTTTTGGATGAGGGCAATCCCTCAGGGCGCCTGTTCTGAAAATGACAGCACCGATAATATAAAGGCTATCGTCTATTATGGCGACGCCGTTGGCACTCCTTCCACAACCGGCTATTCATTTACGGATGGATGTGATGACGAAACGGATAATATCACACCATATATATCCAAAACAGTTGCGTCTGCCGATTGGAGCGATTTAGAATCTGCTTCTTTATCACGAACCTCAGGTCTCATCAAATGGAATTTGAATAGCACCTCAATGCTAGTGGAGTGGGCCAATCCAACACTGGGTATGATTATGAATAGCGATACCGAGTATGAAACTCAAGAAGCTGTGATCGAGCTGCCAGAAGCCGACGAATGGGTATACCTTGTTATCCAGAATACTGGGGGAATACCTCACCCTATTCATCTTCACGGCCATGACTTCTTCATTCTTGCTCAAGGGTCGGAGACATATTCATCATCCGTTACACTCAATACAGACAACCCGCCTCGGCGTGACACTGCAATGCTCCCTGCCTCCGGATACCTGGTCATGGCTTGGGAGAGTGACAACCCTGGAGCTTGGCTGATGCATTGCCACATTGGGTGGCACACATCTGAGGGATTTGGCCTCCAGTTCGTTGAGCGAGATGCTGAAATTCCAGGCCTCGTTGACAACTCAACATTGGTACAAGTGTGCGATGATTGGGAAGCCTTTCAGGAAGAGAACTTGATAGAACAGGAAGATTCGGGCATATAACAGGGGTGCTGGCTAACGTTTGAGAAAAACACCCCACCCCAGTGTTCGGTCTCATGAGAAGTCATGATAAGCATAAGTTGAAACTTGAGCTTTCGGTCATTTTCTATGTTGTTGGATGAGCAATTCTTATCACCATTGTTAGTTATATAAGCTCAGTATCGTCTTTTTGTTAGGATATTGCATTCAAATGGCTATTTACTATTGATTTTCAAGTGACGATCCCAGGAGCTGTAGATGATACTACCTTGAGCTGTATATGAGTCCAGTTCATTGAAATGATGCATCCAAATTCATCTGAAGAATATGCAGGAAAATATGACTTGTTTGTTGTTCTAATGATCTTAAAATACCCATAGATAAGTGGGAGAAAAGTTTCCGCTAAAGAAGTTGGCTCAATTCATCTGACCAGAACACTCATTTGGACCAGTAGAGATGGAGAACCCCCGGTTTCCAGCCCCATACCAGCATCCAGATCAGCGTGTTGATATTTCAGGACATGGTCTGTGAATCCAGATATTTGTAAATCAAAGCTCTATATTTTTAATATTGGGGGCTGGCTGTTGAGATGTGTATGAGCATTGTCTCACTAAATCATCTATTAGATGCGGTTCTTCATCTTGCGTGGTCCCTCTGCGAGAGACTGGGTTGAGCTAAATTAAGTAGAATACCTAGAAAGTCGGTATGACTTATTTCATTTATATCCAAAGAAAGAAAGAGACGTAAGTCGAAATGAAGCTACCCATTGGTTTCGAACTGGCATGGCTAATCATCGATCAAGGCCTGGAGAGACAGAATCGGAGAGATATATTGGTGCCACGTGACTACTTTAGTGGCCCAAATCAGTCCATATTTTGGAAATGGAGTTTGAATTTCCGTTTCTTTATCAGTTAGCTATAATTTCACAAATATACCTATGCTACAGATGCCTAAAACACCAAACTGTCCAATGATAAGGCCAAGTGATGAGAACTGAAGCTCGCTTCTAGCCGATATTGGCAAAGTATGGAGCCTCAGAGCCTCAAACCGGGCCATTGGTGGGGTTTCTGGCCGCCAAGAGTATACCCAATACGTAACCATAAAACAAGTCCCACCAGAAGGATTTAGTTTACCTTCCGTTGAACGAGAAAGACTGTGGACGAATCAATCCTTTAGGGCCCGTGGCCGTTATCACAACAGCGACTGGTTGATTTGCCGCCTACTAGTGATCATCAAACGCCATCGCCGTGGTACTTAGTTTTACAAGTAGCCACGAGTATGTTTTTTCCCTCTTTGTTAACTCACTTTCATATCGATGTGAGTGCTGCATTCATGTGTTCAATTGTTAGCCCCAATCATTCAAATGTCTCGTGGAGTTCTATACCCTTCGCTTATCAGAACATTGGCCGGAAATCTTCGAATTCGCCATAATTGCAATGACTAGCGGCTGTCCCATGAACTTTTGCAATACAACGCGCGCCAGGATACCGAGGAGCCTTGTTACACTAGGAAAGTTCTCCACAATGCTTGGTAGGATCACTATCCCAAATGGGAACCCAAGTAACGGACGATATCCTTTTGATGGTATAGCTCATCGGCGTGCAACTGCTGGTCTGTGCTGGTTCTGTTTCAAGGAGTTGTTTTTTTATGCATCGATTAAGAACACCAAAACTATATATTACTTGAAGTAGATAGGCTGAGTAAAAAAAGCTCGTTCAACTATGGATATCTCCACTGGCCATGTGTAGTGCTACGCTGGATGTCACTACTTCATCTGGCACACACCAATTGTTTTATCACGTCGTTTTGAGGTTAAGGAATATGATCCCAGTCTATATGTTGACATTTTGGGATTTCGGGAATAATTCCGTTACCAGACATCCATCTGCCCGTGATAAGTAGTGCCACTTGCACAAGAAGTTAAACGTAGAAATATATATCCTACCTATGAGACCGTAATTCTCGCCCTTGATGCACTCATTGTTCCCAAAAATACTCCCATTTCCCAATTTCCTTCGTCTTTAGTCACTCACCTGAGACACTTTGATAATTCCAAAAATCGTTGCTCAATATACCTACAATGGCTACAAGCATAGAAACCGCCCCGATGTCCTCTTCTGATTTCTTCAAGCCTTTG